GTGCAGTCATGGGTTCTAACCGTTTCACAAATAATTGTGTGTTTTAAGGTATAATAAATTGGTGGTTGAAATTTATCAACTAGTAAATGGCAATTTTTAAGATATATCTCTTTTAAACTTTTAATTTTCAATCTAATCGTGTGTTTCGATTCCTTTACGCCATTTTTTTTCCTAGTCCATTTAATGTTTGTGTATTTTACAGAAGACCATAAACAAAAATATAAATTGTGAAAAACATAAAAAAATGTCCCGTAAATTACACATTAACAATGTTTTTGAATTCCATAAACAAAATGCTGAGCATATATATATATATATATATATATATATATATATATATATATATATATATATATATATATATATATATATATATATATATATATATAAACAAAATGCTGAGCATATATATATATATATATATATATATATATATATATATATATATATATATATATATATATATATATATATATATGTATATATATATATATATATATATATATATAAAAACAAAATGCTGAGCATATATATATATATATATATATATATATATGCTCAGCATTTTGTTTATGGAATTCAAAAACATTGTTAATGTGTAATTTACGGGACATTTTTTAATGTTTTTCACAATTTATATTTTTGTTTATGGTCTTCTGTAAAATACACAAACATTAAATGGACTAGAAAAAAAAATGGCGTAAAGGAATCGAAACACACGATTAGATTGAAAATTAAAAGTTTAAAAGAGATATATCTTAAAAATTGCCGTTTACCAATTGATAAATTTCATATATAAATAATATTTCCCTTATATTATATATATATATATATATATATATATATATATATATATATATATATATATATATATATATATATATATATATATATATATATATATCAATAAATTGATATATATATATATATATATATATATATATATATATATATATATATATATATATATATATATATATATATATATATATATATATACTATATATATATATATATATATATATATATATATATATATATATACAATATAGGGGAAGCATGTAGGGCAAATGTTTTAGGGTTTTTTTTGTTCCCAGGCCTCCGCCATCTCAAATTTTTGCAAGGTCTCTTCATTTGGTATAGGTATAAACATACTTAAGTTTGGAGTTTGCACAGTGTGTAATAAATAAGCAGTTAAGCGGCCTAAAATAATTTTATTTTTTTATTTAAAAAAAAAACTGAGAAGAGTGTAAAAACGTATATGAACAAACTAATATTGATAAATGATAATAATTATTTTTAATGATGATTTATATATTTATAATAGTATTAGTTATTATTATTAATAAAAAAAGTTTTTATAATAATAATTACTATATATTTATAATAAATATTTTAAGATAATTTAAAGTCTCTACAAACGAGCGCGGAAATAAGTTTATTTTAGGCCGCTTAACTGAACATTTACCCCTTATTTTCCATGAAGTTTTATTTGCTGTACCAGCTAATTGCAACACCATCCAATTGTATCTCCAAGATATCATAGATAAAAGATTTATCAACAAACTCTTCTCTCAACTTCTTCATTTTTTCCTACATTTTTTGTTCACTTATATTTATAAACCAAAAGTATATTTTCTACACCAATAATCAAAGTTAAGCTGCCATGTAAAGATATAATGAACGAAATGCAACTGTATGAGTGATTTGATGACTGACGAGTGTATGATGCAACCGTTTGAGTGATTTACGTTGATTAGTGAAGCAGGAGTCACCATTAAATGGTTTATGAATCTAGCGCTAACCCTGACTAGAGCGAGAAAGTGTACAGAACTTCGTAAAGTGTAACTTTACTGCTCTCTGTAAAATTAAACACTGTTTGTATATAAATAAACTTAAAAGTGTTTAGATTAGTGTGACTTAACAAAGTGACTTAACACTGATTCTGTTACTAAAGACGATGCTTACGATGATGGTCTTGATGATTATGACAAATACGTAGCAGACTTATTAGAAGACTTATCAAATTTTATTAGTATACAATTTTTTACTCTTATGGTTATAAATAACTTAAAACGCTTTTTTGTTTAGAATCAGATTGTAAAATATTATTTTACTGTCTAAATTGACTATAAATTGATAAAGTCAATAATTTTACACGTTAACGCAATACCTTCGTTTACAACATAAAAATTATTTTTGTTTGTTTTCAACCATTTGAAATTAAAAATCTTAAGACATTATGGAAATTTTTTTTTTTACATAGTAAACACAATAAATAGACAGATCGTTTTAATGATTTTTTGAAGCTCGATAAGTCAAAAACTGCGGGTCTTTGAATTGAGAAATTTTCATTTGAGAATCTCCACAACCTAAAACGCTAAGTTACATTGGAATTTTTTAGTTCTTACGACTGCACCACGAAAGTTAAGTTTTATTATGTCTCGCTGTCTAAAGTTATATTCAACGAACTATCTTGTACCTAAGAAAAGTATAACATAGTTTACCCATGTCATAAATATAATAGTATTGCTAAATAAGATTTTATAAGTGGATTTTTAAAGAGGCTTTTTTAAAAATCCGTTTGCCGTGTTTCTGTGAACATTTATTTTAATAATATAGAAATTGTTATGAACAAGTACAAGCTCACAAATTTCAATTGCGATGAATTAAGCATTTCTACTGTATATAAACTTTTTAAATTTACGAAATGAAACCTTGTTTCTTTTATAATACGCAGTAAATGGGGCGTAACTATGAGTTTAGAAAGGACTGTAACTAGGGCCGACGACACGGGTTTCGAAGTGGGAGGGGTGGTCAATTTCTAAAAAAAATTCTCGACATTTAGAATTTTCTATGAAAAAAAAAAAAGGTCCTATAGAAAAAAGTATGTGTAGGTGGGTGTGGGAAGAGGGAGACAGCCCCCCCCCCCCCCACACAAACATACACATACTTTTTAATAGCGGAAAACTTTTAGATACCTACGAAATTCATACAAAAAACATTATTTGCAAATAATATTTTTTTTTTCAGTTTTTGAAATGTCGATAGTGATAATCTTAGCTTCTCCACATCTAATGCACGATAAAACCTATCAGTTATTATCAATTGCCACTATTCTATTTTTTTTTTTGCAAATCCATGGATTTGCAAAAAAAAAAAATTTCGAAATTGGACCCCCTCTCCCACTTCGAAACCCGTGTCATTGGCCCTAGATAAAGTTTAGCATGGTAGTCTTCTCCATAAACTCTCTTCTTACGGTGTATCAGGTAACACCTTTAAGATTATTTTATCCTTCCTTACCAATCGTAATATAAAAGTTGTCCTCGATAGACAGCATTCTTCTTTATTTTCTGTAACTTTAACGGTTCCTCAAGATTCTATCCTTGGCCCTAAATTTTTTTATTTTAGATATTTACTAAAATTTATTATCGTGTTACTTGTCATTCAATTATGCCTCATGCTTTTACTGTGAATGTCCCTAAGCGCTCCAAAAATTCTCATTCGTCTAGTTTTTTTCATCGAATACCAGTTCTTTGAAATTCGCTTCCTTTATCTTGTTTTCTTGATTCATACAATTTGCCATCTTTCGAGACATCTGTTAATCGTTATCTTGCTTTATAAAGTTCATCTTTCCTCTTTCAGTAAATTCCAACTCTAATAGTGGTTGCTTGCAGCCTTATTGGAAGTAAAGATGTTAAAAAAAAAAATACCTTACCACCACCTCGTATAATTTCCCATAACCAAATAGGGTAACCTGGGGCAAAGCGAGACATTTAGGCTTTCTAGCATTGCACAGATTTTTATTGAAATGCTACAGTAATTTTGGTTAATTATATTAAAAGTTTCATGTTTTTTTAATGTTTTAAAGCAGTTTCCATCAGTTTATTCCTATAACATAGAAAAGTGGGTTTAAAGCGTCAATTTGATTAAAAAATCAAAATAATTTTTTTTTTGTGGAAAAAATCTACGTACGCTGTCATTTTTTACTACAGAATAAACATATTATTAAGTTTGTAATCATTTATTTGTTATTTTTCAATTGCCATTCTTCTTTTTATGCCAGATTATTTTGTTTCAAAGATATTTAAGAAATATATAACTTCACATTTACGGGGAAAGTGCGACAACGCTAGTTACTGAAAAAGATCGTCAAAGTAAACGTTAAGGAAAGCAAGTTTATAAACTTAAAAAAATCGTCAAAGTAAACGTTTACGATAGCAAGTTTAACTTGCTATCATTATTTTATGAAAAGAACAATCAGAAAAAAATAATAGGAAAAAAAAAAGAACAATAACTAAATAAAAAAGAATGACAATAAATAAAATTAGAAAAATATAAAAAAGAACAAAAAGAAAAGAAAACTAATGAAATGCTTGATTGAAAAAGATGTAAACAATGAAGAGGAATGGTTTTCTCCAGTTTGTCAAGGGAAATGGTGCAATAATTCCCAAATTGACCGGATAGCTTGTTGCGTATGTACTGTTTGGGACACGAAGACTTTATATTAAACGATGTTTGCTTTTTAAGTGTGATATTTTTTCCTAGAATGTTTTTTGATTTAAAAGGAAAAATTACATTGTAAAATGATACCTTTGTGTTTTTATTTGCGTTCTTATATTTAATCAGATCGAATTTATCAAAGCCTGCTTTAATTTTTATTGAAAATTATAATTTTACTTAGTTTTTTCTAAGTAAAAATATAACTACCCTGTCTCACTTTGCCCCAGGTTTTGGGGAAAGTGAGACAGGGTAGTTGTTGCTATTTTGAGTTTAATTATGTACCAATGCAACAACCTATCACCACAAATATTTAAGAGTTCGTTAAACACATAATGCGCCAGTGGCCTGCAAAATATCTTGTTGTGAAACGTGTTACTTCTCAAGTAATGAACATTCTCCCTGAAAGTGTCGGTGGCGTTTTAATCACTTTTTTAAAAAATTTAAATTTTGACTTTTATACGATATAACCTATTTATTGCAAAATAATAAAAACAAAAGCTTTGCATTGGTTTTATTTTTGAAATAATTATGTTTGAAACACATTCTCATGTTGTATAGTGCAAGCTTCGACACTTAAAGCTGACACAAGACCCTGAAAAATTATGGCTTATTTGAATATTTAAAATCAAAGAAAATATTTTATAAAATGAAAAAACTTTTAAAGGGCTTTTCAAAAAATGATTTGAGTTTCTTTTTCTGTTTAATGATATGAAAAAAAAATTACAAATGAAATAAAAATTTTGTATAGAATTTATTTTAAGGATTCGTCTAGACTAATTAAATAAACTACTTTATAAATATTTACTTGGTTTTATAAACACACAAAACGGCAGAACATAGCAAACTATGCAAAAACATACTAATAGTTCAAATATGTACATATGCAAGCATTCAAGTAATTTATGCAATAGTACGTATGCAAACCACGTCAGAACATAGCATCAATAGGAAATTATTTACATCTCATAATAGTTTTAACAAAGTAGATTATAAAAAAAATCTTAATTTATGTAACTAAATTTTATTTTTTTTAATTGAAAGTTTTTTTTTTTAAACTGAAAGTTTTTTTCTTATTTGAAGTTTTTTTTTTAATTTGTTTATTGATGCATTGTTCTCAATGTTGATTTTCTAGCTCCGGTACAATATTCAGCACATTCTTGTTTTAATAAAGGTTAGTATTATATTGTTCGTAGAATTTTAATTGACAAATTTGACCACCAATTTGATTGTATTTAACCTCTCCAATCAATGATATCAAGGCATTCTAAAAAATAATTATATGCCATTATATATCGCCAATTAAGGCCATGAGTGAATTCTCAAAACTACTACTAAACCGTTTCAAAGTCAAAATGTAGAAGTTCAACTAAAAATTTTTTATTTGATAAAAATAATGCAAAATATACTTCTCAATATTTAAAAAAAATATATAAAAGATTTAAGTAGACATTTAACCTTAATAATAAAATCAAATTCAAAATTTAATTTTGATTTATTTTGGGCTTTTATCTTCCAAATCTGCAAACAAAACAAAACAAAAAAAAAGTATAAAAAGACGCCTTTAAAATCGAATCAAAAATGATTTTAAATCACATGGTCGACTTGCAATATATTCCTTGCAGGTGTCAAATATGTTTTACTACACGGATTATTGACTACAAGAAGCAATTAAAGGTCGCATTGAAAATTCCATTATTAAAAGGCGAGTAACAATAAATATGCATAAAATTTTTTCCTGGTCTCTAATCATAACCTTAAACATAATCATAAACATTAAAAAATAGTTTTACTTTTTTAATTTCAACATAGCAAAAATATTTATTGCACTATTCAATAAGACTATAGCTTTATTACTAAAGTAGCTCTATTCTCTATTAAAAACTAATACTTGCGATATTTAGAATTATAATAGACACTGGAATAGATAATCACGAATAGATAGTAGATAATGTCGTTTTCAACGCCTTTAAAAAATTAAGAAATTTCTTTTTTCTTGAGTTTCCAAACTGTTAGGTTATATTAAAAACACTTGAATAATACAACTAAAAATGCAGATTTTATTAAAATTTCGAAAATGTTTGTATATTTTTAGCTGTTTTTAAAATTTATTTAAAAAACGATTCCCTCACACACACACACCTCATTGAGTCGCCTCTACACCTAAGAACTAGTACAATCAATGATGATTTAGTAGCAATGTTCACACCTCATTAGACCTAACTCGGGTTAAACTTAAAAACAAAGTTTTCAAATAAAAGTTCAAAAAAAAATAATTATAATATTAATAACAATAGCAATAGGAAATTATAAGTATATACCTCAACCTGTTCTTCATTGTTAATGTCAATAACATTGTACGCCTCTTGCAATAATTTATCTCCAAGGATAGAAACACATTGGCTAGAAATACAAATATATTTTTTTTCAATTTTTAAAACCTTTTTCATTTGTTAAAATATTTTCATTTTTAGCTGAAAAAATTACATAGTGAAACTATGAGTAAAAAACCTAAACTTCTATAAACGCAAGCTTTGAAGAATATAAAAGAAAAGTGAAAAAAATTTAAGATAATTAATATATATATATATATATATATATATATATATATATATATATATATATATATATATATATATATATATATATATATATATATATATATATATATATATATATATATCTGTCCGGTTCATGATATTAAACTCTGTACTGATGTAGAGATACTCTGATATAAAACCTACAATTGCGGACAAGGGACAAGGGTACTACAATTGCGGACAAGGGTAGAAGAAGCTCATAAACCTTGGACAGAATTCTTTATAGTAGTAATATTGCAATAAAAAAAAATGGTCCTAATGTGCAAATCAGATTATTGCCTATGAAAGGCATTAGGTTAAGAAAAATTGCTCCATACACCCGTAATGTAAATTTAAATAAAAAATGATATTATGTAAACCTGTACAAACCACAAATATAAATTTAATAAAAACATGAATTATGTAAACCTGTCTGAACCACAAATATTAGTTCACAGTCCGAACCACAATTATGAATTCATACTCATTAAATTAAAAAAAATAACATTTATGTACTTTTTAAAGTTTTGAACCTCAACATACTGAATAATATATTTAATTAATACAGGAAACTTGTATTTTATGTTTCTATAATATTGAAATAGTAAACTATATTGTTACACAAATATTTTAGGTATGTATTTCAGTTTTGACAATATCAATGCTCTCATTTACTTTCTTGCTTCTACCTTCTCTATTTTTTCTGCAGAAAGGGCTTTTGACTGTTGACTGCCATAATCCTTCATTCTTTCCTGTTTTTAGTTTTCTTATAAACATTTTGTTAGTTCAACTTTATGTGGCTTGATATCATAACATTTAAGATGTTGCGAATGAATACTCATTTAATTTAAACTTGTCCATGCTATATTTATTGATAACATGCTGTAATTTTGTTTGTTTCTTTAAATCAGTGTATTTCCAAAAAAAGTAAATAAATAAATAAAAATAATAGTTATCATTATTAAAGGATTTTGATTTTATATTATAATAACACAATTTTTATTTTTATAACACAATCACATTTTTATTTACATTTTTAAGGAGATTTGTCTGAGGTTTAATTTAAAAATTTCTAGTAAAATAATTGTATAGAAAACCCCTTCTACACAAATACTTTCATAATTAAGTATTTACAAGAATTTAAAGTTTAAATACCTTCAGCATAAAATAATTACAAATAAACAAAAATACAAAAGTAGCAACACCTATAAAAATATCAATTTGAACCAGTATTTTGAGAAAGGGAATAAACACTACTTTGTGACATTTTATAAACGTTTAATAATTAAGTTCTTAGAAAATAATATTTAAGTCATTTTGATAATTTTTTCTTTGAACTCACATTTAAGCCTAAAAAATATAAAAATGTAGAAAAGTGATTATGTCAAAAAGTGATGTTTATTCCCTTCTTTCAATTGGTGGTTCATATAAAGAAAAAACTTTAAAATATCAATTTTAAAGTTGTAAAATAATGATTAAATTATTGAATAAATGTAAATAATTTAATGCTTACCGCTTTAGCATGGCAATCCTCTCAAATAATCTGCCAGTAACAGTTGGACAATCAGTAACTAAGTCAAATAAAATAATCGTTTATATTGAAAAACTCTTTACATTAAAAATATTCTTCTCTGGAGAGTGCAATTAAAAAGTAGTACTTTAGAAAAAAATTAAATAAAAAAGGTGTAAACTATTATTATTTTATATTATTAAACAAAGACACACACACACTCATTGAGTTGAGAGTGAAATCTCGTAGAGTTTCATTCTATAACACTTTTTACTCAGCAAAATTTTCTTTTTTTAGAATTAAATGTTTATATAGTTTCATAATTTTGCTTCTTTCTTTTATTTGAAAATCGAAGCAATCTTGTTTCAGAACGAGTTGATTGAACTTGAATTAATTGTATTTTGTGGCAAAGTGTTCCAATAACTTGATATTCTGTTTGTGAAGAAATTGTATCTGATTGTTTTATTTTTTGAGCCTTTGTTCAATATTTCTCTTCTAATTCTCATAATATGTCTTCTTGTAGTTGTTAGATTATGATTGATAGGGTTGTGAAAATTTATTTTATCAAATCCTTTGGATGTTTTGAACATTTGAATAGGATCTAATCTTTTTCTTTTATTTTCTAATGTATAAATTTTTAATTAATTAATCCTTATTTCATACAATAAACCCTTTAAATTCTCTATTTCTGTCACTTTATGTTGTATTTTTTCCATTTTATCAATTTTATCTTTTCTAAAAGGGTTCCATATTACACGTTGTTATTGTGAGGATTCCAGTTTAGGTCATTTAGTGATGGTTATACCAAGTTCAATTTCTGAATGAGTTTCTAATAATTATTTAGTTAATAATCATGTTTTAAATTACTTTTACCAAAATGCATTATTTTGCATTCATTTTCATTAAATTTAATTAAACATTTATTTGACCTCTTACTAAGTTCATCTATATCATTTTCAAGATATTTATTGTCCTCTTGATTCTTTATCACTCTTTATACTTTTGTATTATTAGCAAAGAGCTTTACAACATTTTTTAGGTTAAACATTATGTATATAATAAATAGTAGTGGGCCTAGCATAGATCCTTGGGGAACTCCACTTATACCATTTTTTCATTCAGATACATTTTCTCCTAAAACTACTCACTGTGTTCAATTGCTAAGAAAACCTTTGCACTAATTTAATAGTTGGGCTCAAATTTCGATTGGTACTAGTTTCACCAAAAGGGTAATTCATAAAAATAACATCTATATTTAACCCCTCTGCCAGTGTTTTAGTAATCAATGCAGTAGTGGTATAGTGGTAGAGCGCTCGCTTCATAAGCAAGAGATTCCGAGTTTGATCCTCAACATGTCCCTGGTAGCACTGCACTCAATTTATTTCTCTGTGCAGCGCCTTTGTTTGTCAAGGTTCATGTTTCGGAGTTATACAGTTGAGAGAGGGTTATATGGCAATTAAGTAGCCTCCTCGTTTGTAATGGTCTTCTTGGCCTTGGGGAGGTGAATTAACATAAACAAAAAAGTCGAGCGTTTCAAATGAATTTGTTATACAACTTATACTGTTTACAAGTCTGTGTAGCTGAGAAATAACTAGATTGTTTTTTTAATCAAACAAAACATTATTTTGTGTCATTACTTTTCTCATGATTATGCACACTATTGATGTTAAAGAAATTAGTCAATAGTTTGTTGTATCGAATTTATTTCCTTTTTTAAATAGAGGTGTTACAATAACTTTTAACCAAACAAAAAATAATCATTTAAAAAATTTTTTCAAATATTTTCAATAATATAACTAAGACAATCAGCTAAACTAATCTAACTAAGACATCCAGCTAAACATCCCCTGCCTTGGGGCTCTTGGTTGAGTAAAGGCTAGAGATGGTGTCTCAATAAAAACACTCATCTTGGGCAGATGTTAACTGCATCCAGCTACTGTCTTGTAGAAGGCCTCCTAGGCAAAGACTTTAGGGGTAAGCAGAAAAATTCTGCTAACCAGCCTTGAACCCCTTCTTCATCTATTAGGCTAGCGTAGATGTAACCTGTGTTACATTGTTTCCTGCCTAGGATGATGAATGCTGGATCTCCTTGACTCTACTCATAGAATTTTGCTTATGCCTCCTTGATAATGCCTATGCAACTTTTCCTGTTATCTCCATATGAGGGTACAGCTCAAAAACTCAGTTTAATGGTTCTGAGGCCGGCTGGTAGTAAGGTTTCCCGAACTCTGTGGTAGCTCTCAGAGAGGCTGATTCCATCAACAGCTGCAAAATATCAGTGTATTAACAGTGCCATGTTGCGCATGGATGGTGTCCCTGTTAATGCTTTTGGTGTGCATTGTTAAGGCCACATAAGGAACCCTATGTCACGGCTTAGGGTTAATTAACAGGACTGAGATAACTGCATAGCTCATTGATTAGAAGGCTGTGCTCTATCTATGAATGAGTCAAGTTCTCATTAAACCCAAATCATGACCAAAGTAACCAAAAATTTAAAACCTAAAAAACCATCCCCACCACCTAAATATTTTAATTTATCTTTTACAAATATTCGCAGTCTACGAAGCAACTTTCCATCAGTTGAGTCTTACCTCCTGCAAAACTCACCAGATTTGCTTGCACTCAGTGAAACAAATTTAAATTCTGCAATTCCTTCTTCAGATGTTAGTGTTGATGGGTACTATCCTTTGATTCGTAAAGACTCAAATATTCACATGCTAGGTTTAGGGGTATACATACGCATTAATTCCCCTATTTGTCATGAAATCAGGTTCGAATCCTGTGACCATTCTTTTATGTGCTTTCGCCTAGCACCTCTTCCCTCTATCACCTTTCTCTTTGTTCTTTATCGTTCTCCTTCTTCCCATGATTGCACTCTCTTAGATGTTATCTCTGATCAAATTGACCATGCCCTCTCTCTTTACCCCTCTGCCAATGTTGTTGTTGATGATTTTAATGCCTATCACACTGAATTGCTTGGTTCTAACACCACTGATCCTGCTGGCACTAAAGCCTTTAACTTCTGCATTTCTCAATCTCTTACTCAGATAGTTAACTTTGTGACTCGTTTTCTTGACAACCCTAATCATTTACCTTCACTCCTTGACTTATGTCTTGTCTCTGACCCTAGCTTATGTTCAGTTTCTCCCTTTTCTCCCTTAGGTAGTTCTGACCATGCAATGATCTCTATAAATCTTTCTTCTCGTACTTCTTTTTTGGGCTCACCTTATCATCGCACTACCTACTACTACCCTAAAGCTGACTGGGATTCCTTTCGTGACTTTCTTCGTGATGGTCCTTGGGTTGATGTTTTTTCTCTCTCAGCTGACAAATGCGCCTCCTACGTAACCTCCTGGATTCAGGCTGGAATGGAAACTTTTATTCCTTCTCGTCGGTTTCAAGTCAAGCCTCATTCTACTCCATGGTTTTCTCCTTCTTGTGCGGCTGCTATATCCAATCGTAATCATTTTTTTCATCTTTTTCAAAAGAACAACTCTCTTGAGAACAAACGGCTATTTATTATTGCAAGAAATCGATGTAAAAAGGTGCTTTCTGATGCTAAAGACTTTTGGAAAATCTTCAACAGCATTGTTAACAAGGGTAGATCTAACATTCCATCTCTCATTCATGGGACTGATCTTATTACCTCTCCCAAGGATAAGGCGAACTATTTGCAAAGAACTTTTCTTCTAATTCCACTCTTGAATCTTATGGACATTCTCTTCCTTCCATTCCAGTCAAACAGGTTGACCCATTGTTAGACATTCAAATCACTCCAGCTTCTGTTGCTAAAGTCATATCTCAATTAAACTCGTCTACAGCTTGTGGTCCAGACAACATTCCTGTCACAGTCTTGCAGAATTGTTCTCCAGAACTTTCTTCAATTCTATCTAAACTATTTAACAAGTGTTTGACTGAGTCTTGTTTTCCTGCTTGTTGGAAAATGGCATCTGTGGTTCCAATATTCAAAAACTCTGGAGAAAATTCTGACCCCTCCAATTATCGTCCGATCAGTCTTCTTTCTGTTATCAGCAAGGTCTTTGAGTCTTTGATCAACAAATTCCTCACATCTCATCTTGAGTCAAATAAACTGCTGTCAGACAATCAATACGGTTTTCGATCCTCTCGCTCTATGGCCGACTTGCTAACTGCTGTAACTGAAAGATTTTATCGTGCATTAGATGGAGGCGGTGAGGCTAGGGCTATTGCTCTCGACATATCTAAAGCTTTCGACAAAGTTTGGCATGCTGGTCTTCTCCATAAGCTTGCTTCATATGGTGTTTCTGGGAAAGTTTTTGAGATTATCAAATCATTTCTTTCTAACCGGTTTATTAAAGTCATCCTTGAAGGCCAACACTCTTCTTTATTTCCAGTAACTTCTGGGGTTCCCCAAGGTTCCATCCTGGGGCCCTGTTTTGTTTCTTATCTACATAAACGATCTTCCTGACAACCTTTCATCTAAAGTAGCTCTTTTTGCTGATGACTCAACTTTATACTCCTGTCTTGACAAAAAGTCTTCTCCTTTCGATCGCCTAGAACAAGCAGCTGATCTTGAATCTGATCTCACTTCAGTAATAGATTGGGGTTCACAGTGGCTTGTGAATTTCAACTCTAAAAAAACCCAATTGCTTACTGCAAACAACTACCGTAATATGGTCAACATTCCTATATTAATGAATGGCAATCCTCTTACTGAGTCGTCCTCTTTACGTCTTCTTGGATTATTGCTTACTACTGACCTTTCATGGAAACCATATATACAATCGATTGCTAAATTAGCTTCTGCTAAGGTTGCTTCTCTTTATTGTGCTCGTCATTTCCTTACTTCTGATTCCATTCTCTACCTCTACAAATCTCTTATTTGTCACTGTATGGAATACTGTTGTCATATTTGGGCTGGTTCTTCTAACGATTCACTTTCTCTTCTTGACAAGGTTCAAAAACGCATTTTAAATGTTGTTGGACCTGGACTATCTGCTAAGCTTGAACCTCTTTCCCATCGTCGTAAAGTTGCATCTCTTTCTCTTTTCTACAAATACTATCATGGTCACTGCTCAAAGGAGTTATCATCTCTAGTTCCATCAACTAAAATTCATTCTCGTTTTACTCGTCATTCAGCTAAGTCTCATTCGTTTACTGTATCTGTCCCTGCATGTTCTAAAAACTTTTATTCATCTAGTTTTTTTCCCTGCACTTCAATCTTTTGGAACTCTCTCCCATCTTCATGTTTTCCTAACTCATACAACCTTCAACTTTTCAAGTCTTCTGTCAACCGTTTCCTTGCTCTATAACTCTGTTCGTTTTTTTCCTAGTAACTCCCAACTTGATAGTGGTTGCTTGCAGCCTTGTTGGGAGTGAATGCAAATAAAAAAAAAAAAAAAAGATATGATACAAATATTTAAAATATTTAAAGGAATAGATAAAGTTGAGCTTATTAATCCACCGTTGTTTAAAAATTTAAATACCAGGGGTCACAGGTTTAGTTATGACAGAGAAATTATTAATAGTGGAGTTTGACATTCTTAAAAATTAGAGTTGCGAATTTGTTAAAAAATTTCTAAACAAATAGAGTTGCATCATTATGAAATTCATTGTCAGAAGAAGCTGTCAATGCAAAATCTTTGAACAAATTAAAAAACATTAAAAAAAAAACTTTTATGATAGACTACAAAATCCAATAGTTTAATAATACTTTTTATTCAATAACACTATGTAACAAATTTTCATTTTTGTTCTGTTCCTGGGTTGAGTGCATTTTCCTAACCTGTTAGGTCTAGAACAGATAGGAAATTGATGTTATTCCAGAAAAACTTTGCTTCTGTGGTCAGGACAATGAAATTTGGAAAATCGCGTATTTTCAAGAAAATTCTTGATTTGCTTTCAATGCTGAACTTCCTCCTATAATATTCCTGAACTGCTAGAGTTGTCCAGATGTTTCTACAATTCTCCTAAACACTCTAGAACATTCAAGAAACTTTCAAAACTTCCAAGAAACTCTCAGAAATTTCTAAAACGTTTTTAAACATTCCAAAAGTAGCTGTAAAAGTATAAAAGCACAGGTGTCTCGAACACCTGACACCTGTGACACAGACACAGTGTTATTGCTTGAACCAACTCACAGTGTTATTGCAGACTGAAAGAATAACGATTCATAGTTATAAACAAGTTATTTATTTGATATGGCATCAAGAGGTTGTTTGCATCCAGCTGATTCATTCTGCTATATGTACAGACAATTCATAAAGACAGGAGCGAAAAAAGTATTTGTGAAAGCAAGTCGTATTATGTGTGAGGCCTACAAGGTATACCTCCACATGCAACTCGAGGACTAAGACAAATCTTGGGCACCACATTTCGCATTGCAAGAAAAGACTTGAAGGTAAACTAATTTATTTAATTAATTTTCATAAAATTTCAATGCTTTAGATCTAGTTTATTTCAAGAAGCTGTAATTTTCAAAGTTTTGTTATAAGCCTTGTAATGTAGGCGAATGTATTCCATCTTGAAATCATTCCATATTTTGAAATTTCCTGCCTCAAATTATCATAATTCTTATGCATTATTATATGGTATGCTACATTTTGCTATGCTGAAATTTGACAAGAGCCGACTGAGAACTTGACAAGAGCCGACTGCAAATTTGATGAGAGCCAAATTGCAACTTGTGCACAGTTTACCAAAGGGCATTTGTGCACGGTTTTGGCACAAATGCCCCCCAGATCATTCATCCGGACATACCTTCTTCTATTGCCCTAGTACCACACCAGCCCAGATCTGAGAACAGTGTCATCACCAGTCCCGAACAGTAGAACTTGGTTGATGATAGTGTACAAGTCACAGATCAGAGGAAGCGGCATCAAAGATTCTCCAACTTCTTCAGCTAGCATGATAAGCTGTGCTTCTGCAACAATATTGCCTGTCTGTTCCGGGCTATAGGTATCACATGTAATCCTATTGAATGGTACCTCAAAGCCCTGCTGCTTCATAATGGAAACAACTATCCGTCTCTCCTGACCCACTCTGTGCATCTCAAAGAGGACTGCACCAGTGTCAAAATGTTGCTGAGTGCAAAAGGGGCTTAGAGCAGTTTCGTTGCAGTTGTTCAGTGCTTCCTAGATAATCACAAAGCTGAAAACTATGTGGAATTAGTGCAGACTCTCATAAATAAATACGCTTAAATTGGATTCAGAATGTCTTTGAAAATCCATATCCTTGATTCGCACCTCGACAAATTCAAGGAGAACATGGGCGCTTACTTTGAGGAGCAAGGTGAGTGCTTTTGTCAAAATATATTGTACTTTGAACATTGCTACCAAGGACAGTATAACAAATACATGATGGGGGACTACATTTGGGAGCTACTTCGAGAGAGTGATTCACAGTGCAACAGAAAATCTAGAAAATCTAAACGCTTTTGAACCTTGTTAAGTGGTTTCTGACTGTGTTTGTCTATTCCTTGTGTAACTTTTGTTTTTACCTGATCATAATGACAAAAAGGAATGAAAAAAAAAAAGTTATGTTTTAATAAAAATCAATTTTTCTTTGTGCTGTTGTCGTGTAAGCAAAGTTTGTGCTTAAAGGGATCCCCAATTGCCTAGACAAGTTGTGTTCATACTAAAGAAAATACTTAAAAAACATTTGCGCTTAATATTTTTGATTAAAACTATGTAATGAATGGACACATTTTAGTCAAAGCTCGCTGTCTTCATTTTTTTTGTGTTATCAGAGTCTGTATAATGCTAGCCGCAATCTGCAGACTTGATAATTTATACCATGCGTGTTTAATTCATAACAGTTTCAGTATATGACGTCATCGTATAAATTTTTCATTTCAAAATGTCGTATTATTATTATTTTTTTTGCCACAATCACCAAATCATGTTAATTGTATAACTTTTTACTAAATCCCTAAAAAAAGTTTATGATGAAATTAAGAATTAAATTTATAAAATTTACAAAAATAAAAATTCAATATATAACGAATATTTACAGTAATCGTTCTGGTTTAAACTATATATAAACTAGATACAAAAAGAATAATTTTATTAAAGCGTATAAGTTAATTTATAATGACTTGAATAAAACATATAAACTGAACTAAATAGAAAATAAATATTAAATGAATTACTTTATTAATAACCGTTCAAACAAACTAAATTAAAGTTAAAACAAATATTTGTACTAAAATATACAAAAAATAGTTATAATATAAATACAAAAACAAAGAATCACATTAAATTGTTTGCTACCAGCCGAACAAAAATCTTTTTTGTAGCAACTGCACATTTTTTTGAATAACATTTGAATAGCATAACATTAACAATTATTTAAAATTCAATAATAATAGTTTTTAAAACGCATCATTAAATAATAAGAAATGCAAAGTGCTAAAAACTGATGTTTTTATAAGTAGTAACTAGTTAACTAAAACATTAAGTCCGAAACAAACCTCATTTAATGAATAAAAATAATATTTTCTCTTCAAAATAATTTGGTTATTACTTAACTAAATATTTAACACTTCTACAAGTTAAGTTTTACAGTGTTAACGCTGTTTTATTTTATAACTAAATTAAAATTTTTTTTTTCAGAAGGATTATTTAAGATTTTTTAACTTTGTGATAACTTTTTTATAATTACACAATATAGCTCGTATTTTTTCTTGATTATGTAGAGAATTTATTAAACCTTTAGAACAAACAAATTCTATGTGTCTAGAATGGAAATTTATGTAGAAAAAAAAAGTAAATTGTAAAGCATACTCAAAAGCCGCTACCAGTGGCTTGCGGTAGTGAAAGAAAGAGTTAAACCATAACTAAATTAAACATAAAACGAACAACTATATTAAACCATATGAACTAAATATAAAACGAGAAACCGCATCATACTGCCTTTATTTTTTGTCTGCCTGCGAACTCTAATAATCACAAAATATGTATAATTGCGTCATGATTTTGGCTTGGTTTTAAAACAAAGTAATAATAAAGCAAGTTAAAAAAAATTATATATAGAATAAATATATATATATATATATATATATATATATATATATATATATATATATATATATATATATATATATATATATATATATATATATATATATATATTTGTACAATTTTTTAATAAATCACAAATATTTTTTGTGATTTAGTAATAAGTTATACAAATATTTGATTTTCTTATTGTAGTAGAGTAAAAAATACTTATATCTTTAAAAAAACAACAACAAAAAAACGCTATCTTAAAAAGATATTGCGATGACGTCATATACTGAAACTGTTATGAATTAATCACGCATGGAATAAATTATCAAGCTGCAGATTGCGGCTAACATTATACAGACTCCAAGAACCAAAAAAAAATGGAGAAGACGAGCTTCGACTAAAACGATAATTTTAATTTTGTTGGTATGCATTCAATATTTAGTTTCAATCAAAAAATTTAGCCTAAATGTTTTTTTTAAACATTTTCTTTAATACGAACACAACTTGTCTCGGCAGTTTGAGATCCCTCTAATGAAGTCATTTTTTCACATACTTTAGACATAAGCAATAAAAATTTAACACTTAGAAAACAGGAACAAAAATTGTGTTACGTAGTGTAATTTAATGTAATTTTTTATATTCAATGATTTAATATAATATTTTTTATTTAATAAGTTAATAAAAAAGATAAAATAAGTATGAAAGTACAAAGTATAAAATAATATAAGTTTTTACTTATTTCATCACAAGGTGGTTGCTCAGGTGATATTCTGTCATTTATGTCACTTTCCATTTTCAAAGTCTGCTGAAGACTTTCAATAAAAGCTTCTTCAACAGATTTCCCAAGAGGCTCCTTTGTTTGCTAATAAAAAACCTCATATTATAAAATGAGAATTTTCTAGATAAAATAAGTAACCAGGATCTTATCTCAAATCATTATCTGGTTATTTATTCTGTGTTAAAAAAAAAACTGCTAACCAAACTAACATATTGATTTTGATTAACATCTACTCTTTTTACGGCTCCATCAACAACATCACGCAAGCAATTCACTTTTACCTTTGATGCAACTGGAAGGTTTTTTTTTGGAACTAAAATAGTTTTGAAAGTTGTTTATTTTTTAAAAATTAAAATATATAATATATATATATATATATATATATATATATATATATATATATATATACACATATATTAAGGGTATTTTAGAATTACCAAACTATCTAGATTTAAAGCAAATAGGTTTAAACTTACTTGCAAAAAATTTTAGCACCATTGAACCACTCTTTTCTTGCCCTCAAAGCACATGTTTGGAAAAAAAAGGACCCAAAAATGACCAGAAACGGCTCACTTAAAGTGTCTTAAAGGCAAGGCTAGCATAAACATTCTTAATAATTTTTTTTAAGGGCTTAGATAAATATCTGTATTTTTAATTAAAAAAAGTATGGTTTTTTCTTTCTTATCTCAAAAAACAGTATAATTTACATTTTAAATTGGCTTAAAAACATTTATTATGTGGCGTGCCGTTGTTTTTATAACCTTTTCAACAATCAAAGTTAAACATTTGGGTTTATATTAGGCTTGCAAATGTATATCTTAAAATTAGAATAAAATTACTCATTTTATGGATGTTTAATATCTTTACCAAACAAAAGAATATGTTCTTAACTACAATATTAGTAATTTTAAAAGTAGCTACATGAATACACAAATTAAGATATAATGTGAAATAGAAGCTTCTATTGCATTTTTTGCATCCTCTTTTCCTAAAGTTAACATATTTTCATTTGCCTTATATTATATTATATTCACCTTTTTAAAGGCTGTTGATTTACTACAATCTATATCTGTAAGATCAACACTAATTTCAGTTAAAATGGCACTTGTCACTTTCTGCAAAACATTTGACAAAACATCACTTAATGTAGCCATAAGGGCAATGTTCCTGGCATGCACACCTCTAGGCTCAAAATCATAATCATAGGATGAACTGTAACTCAAATCAATTTCAATTACATTACTAGATTTTGGCGTTCGCACTTCCTTCGTTCTATTTTTTTTTCTGTTACTCTCTGCTGTCTACATTCATAAAATAAAATTAATTATAGCAAAATGTTTTATAAGAAAAATATCACCTAATAATGATTTGAGATAAGATCCTGGTTTCTTATTTTATCTAGAAAATTCTCATTTTATAATATGAAGTTTTGTATTTTAAAAAAATATACATATATGCTTTTGCGAAGCATATATATATATATATATATATATATATATATATATATATATATATATATATATATATATATATATATATATATATATATATATATATTTAACATCTTTACTTCCAACAAGGCTGCAAGAAACCGCTATTAGATTTAGAAGTTACTGGAAGAGAAAAGATGAAGTTTATAGAGCAAGATAACAATCAACATATAACTTAAAGATTGTAAATTATATGAAGCAGGAAAACAAGATGAAGGGAGCAAATATTAAAGACCTGATGTTCGAGGAAAAAAACTAGATAAATAAGAATTCAGAGCACTTAGGAACAGCCGCAGTAAAAAGATGAGACTTAATTGAATGACAAGTAACACAAGAATCAACTTTATGATAATGTAATAATGGTTGGAGGTTGGTTGCAAGAGCAAGTCTAACTATGTTTACAACGCATTTTTGCATCTTGTCCAAAAGAGAAAGGGCATCATTAGAAGATCCACTCCAGATATGGTAACAGTATTCAATACAAAAATGGATTTAAAAATTGTAGAGATAAAGAATAGAATTCTGAGTGAGAAAGTGGCAAGCACGATAAAGAGATGCAACCTTAGCAGTTGCTATTTTACAACAATTTGATTTATGGTTTCCAAGAAAGATCGGAAGTAATAGCTAATCCTAGAAGATGAAAAGTAGATGACTCAGCGAGTACATTACTGTTCATAAATATAGGAATTATCTAGACTATTACGATAACAGTTAACCAAAAAAAATTGAGTTTTATCTGAGTTAAAATTCACTAGCCACTATATAGAAAGAAAGGGACTAGTAGGAGAAGGTAAACATGAAGACAGAGGAGAGCTGGTTGAATTAGTTGTGACTCACCTCTGTTTATAAAGTCAGGAAAACTGGAGTTCGCATATTTTCTTGCTAAAGTAACTTACTACCTGAAAATGCAGTTTTTGTATTTTCAACTTGATTTTGTTTGAACAACAATCTCAAAAAAGAAAGGCTTATCACAGAATTTGTAGTCTGTTTTTATGCCAAGTAGTATTTAGTCAAAAGCTTAAGATATTAAAGATATTCATCAGATCAAAATTTTAATTTTAAATTTTTAATTAGAAATATCAGATCAAAAATATTTGTTTGAATCCAAAACCAGTTGATATTGTGCTTGATTCGCTTTACAAGCACACTTGGTACTTGGACTCAACTATGATTCCACTAGCTCTATTGGATGAGGATTTGCCTTTGCATGAAAAACAAAAAATTGCAGCTGTAATTCTTTCATTCAAAATGCCTCAGGCTAAACACTTTAAAAATGAAAACAAAGAAATGAAAGACATCAGAAAAGAGATAGAAAGAAATGCTTGTATTGAGAAAGATCCACCAAGCTTTTGGTAGATGAGTTTTCTTACCTTATGTTTAGTTTTAATGGCTTAATAGAAGAAAGAATAAAAGACTGGCTTTCACTACCACTGCAATACTGGCATACAAAGTCTTCATTTAAAATTTTTAAAAATTATGCCAATAGCCTTGTTGTTTTCAATGACCATTCGGAAAGAGCCATCGGCAAAATACAGAAATATGTTCAAAGTTACAACAACGAAGAGAAAAAACAGAGCAGATAGATATCAGTTGATAGAGTTCGCTCTGCTTTCAGGATTTGTAGAAAAAGCTCCATCAGTCTAACCAAAAAAAGATTATCTGATAGTCTTTCCTTCTTAATGAAGAAACAAAAAAAAAAAAAATTCTTTTTTGTATTAGATCCTAACTTAAACTTGTTCTCAAACTCACACTCTTCGTTTCTTTTATACATATCTATTGCAAGTTTAGTATTTATCATTATCATTAACCTAATTAACAAAGAATTTTATATATTTTTAAATATGTAAAATAATTTTATTATAAATTATTATTATAATAAAATAAATAACACTTAATTGTGATATGCAAAAACCACATGTTACAAAATCAATATTTTTGGTAAATTTAAAAAAAACTTTTTTATTTCTTAATTATTAATGATTTGTTTTTACAGACAGCTTGAAAACCGTATATTTACTTATGGTGCAAGATACTTCTGTATATTTTTGATTTTTTTCAGAACATCATTGATACTGCATATAAGAAACATTTTTTGCAATAAAATCTCAAAATTTAGCAAAAAAGTAAAAAAATGTGATGTGTGGTTTTTGCAGATCATGATAAAATTGCAATCGTAATATTTTAATCCGAATAAAATAAAATACATCTTAATAACTTAAAAAATATTTTATTCTGAATAAAATATTACAAATAATTTTAATCAAAAATACAGATATTTATCTAATTCCTAAAAAAAAATTTATTAAGAATGTTTATGCTGGCCTTGACTTCAAAACAATTGAAGTGAGCCGTTTCTGGTCATTTTTGGGTCATTTTTTTTTTTTTCAAAACATGTGCTTTGAGAGCAAGGAAAGAGTGGTTCAATGGTGTTGAAATTTTTTGTGAGTAAGTTTAAACCTATTTGCTTCAAATCTAGACAGTTGGGTTTTTCAAACTCTAGAATTTTTTTTTCCCCTAATTTATATATATATATATATATATATATATATATATATATATATATATATATATACATATATATATATATATATATATATATATATATATATATATATATATATATATATATATATATATATATATATATATTATGCGGTAGTGGTGTAGTGGTAGAGCGCTCGCTTCATAAACGAGTGGTTCCGAGTTTGATCCCCACCACGTCCCTGGTAGTACCGCGCTCAACTCGTTTCTCCGCGCAGCGGCCTTGCTCGTCAAGGTTCGTGTTTCGGAGTTATAGAGTTGAGAGAGGGTTATAACCACAAATAAGTAGCCTCCTCGTCTATAGTGGCCTTCTCGGCCTTGAGGAGGTGAATTAAAAAAAAAAAAAAAAAAAAAAAAAAATATATATATATATATATATATATATATATATATATATATATATATATTCAAGTGGACACGGAAAAATCTGGTTAAATTTCAATTTTTTTTATTATTAAATGTGTTTACATCAGTTAGAGTTTCAACTAAATTTTAAGGAGCTTGATGGGCTGTTTAGCAAGAGATCAAATTTTATAGCGGATTGTTGCCATCATTTTTCAGATTTTTTCTTTTTTCACCTTATTGGTAGCATTAACCCACTTTTTTTGGAA